GAACTATGGTGTTAAGGCTTTTCCCCATAGTTCTCCTTAGGGTAACGGGGGAACACAAACTAGCGTCCTCCCGTCACCTTAAGCTCAGTATACCGCTACTGCTCGCGGTATACTGAGACTCTGAAGCGGACCCGACAATTATGTCTGTATCCGCCCAGCTGCGTGAGTGACAGCTGGCTCTGCCTATCTAGAGGCAGAGCCATCTGTACCCGCCCCCTCCCCCGTCCGATCCACCAGTCAGCTCTGGTGGATCGGAGCGGGGAGGGGGGAATCCAGCCCCTCCCCTGTCACGGCAGAGAGCTGTGACAGGATCGAGAGGTGAGCGAACGCCGGTGTGTGTTCGCTCACCTCCCGATCTACTGAGCCGACCTGTGACAGTCTCATTGTCACAGGTCGGCTAGAACTATGAGGTGAGTGAAAAGCACTCACCTCATAGTTCTCCTTTAAAGAGGAACTCCACCTATATAAAAAAATGTTACCCTTGCAGTGGGGCTACCCCTGCACCACAAGGGTTAACTGCTCATTTGGCTCTAGTGGCCGGAATAAAGAAGATAACCTGATCCTCAGTCCTGCAACACTCAGCGCTCTGCTCTCCCGCTGTGGTATGTCCTCACATCTAATAGAGGTGAACGAACCTGCATTAGATGTGATGATGTCACGGGTCCAAAGACCACTGGGACCTGGGAGAGAAGAGGCCTGCGGGAACGGGTCTAGCAGCCCGGTAAGGACCAAGGATCAGGTGAATATATCTGCTTTCATCCAGCCCTCTAGACAAAATGAGCCCTCAGCCTTTTTCAGTGTAGGGGTAGCACTGCAAGGGTTAATTTCTGGAGTTCCTCTTTAAACAAGAGATGTTATGTCACCATTTAAATGCAATGTATTTATTTATTTCATTGTGCTGCCACATATCATGTATGTATGTATTGTTTGGTATGTTGCCATCTTGTGGTCATTTTGTGTATTGCACCCCTTTTTCCTGTGTTTCCTCCCCTTGTATAATGGGAGACCTCGCTCTTCCTGTTTGTTTCATTCAGCCATTTTGTGGCCACATGAGGAGAGGAAGGCATTACCCTTTTATGACCTGCAAATACCATCATTTCAACCATCAGCTGCATCCTATTGTCTGTTTGTAACCTGCTGCATTCAATAAATATAGTGTTATTTTACAATGCCAGACGGGGAGTGTGCTGCCACAATAGTTGTATAACATATGTCAATTTACAGTCATAGTTAATATTCATACAAATGTGAGATGAGAATTTATATAGTTTTATTTCCCTTAAGCCATCTGTTCATTGATAGTGTACGGCTAATTCATATACTGACATCTTGTGGTCATTCTGGTTATTGCACTGTGTTCCCTCCCAGCTATGATGTATTTCCCCTTGTGTGTAATGTACCGTCCTTCTTCTTCTTCTCCACTAGTCTAGTGTCATGGCTGACAGTAACGTGACCACATATTAATCTGCATTGCATGCTTGGAAACATTACCATCTCTGACCTTCAAATACCGTCTGTTCATTCATCTGCTGTATCCTGTTGTCTGCTGTAACCTGCTGCACTTTATGGATGAAAAGGTATTTGGTGAGTTCAGCTATCTGATAAGGATTGTCCGCAGTGATTATATCTGCTTCTACAGGCCGGGCATAGAGGTCTCAGCAAGGGTTAAATCACTAATACAACAATCGAACACAGAAAAAATAAAACCAACAGGTGGGTAAGGCACTTCTAATGTATAGGATGTATGTATACAGACACGCAGACTTCTCTCTGTGTGATCATGTAAACTCGGGGGGGCGGGGGAGAGATAATAAAACAGCAAACCCACATCTACAAAACCGTGCTGCAGATAAACGCCCCTCAGCGTCACGCCGTTCAACCTTACGTATTGTACGGCAGAAAAGTGAAATCATTAAACGTCAAAATATTATTTAACTCATTTTGTTTTTCATTTTCTGTCTGAATCTAAGATTCATTTTTGGGAGGGAATTGTTCAGATTCTGATTGCAGCATTATGAAACTATGGACACTGCGGGATCCAGATACAAACAAGAGCGTTCAATAGGCTCAGCTGCATCGTGCTGCTAATACAAAGCATACTTATAGGGGTGTATTTATAAACAATTTGGAAACAAAAATGTATGTTATTAGTATATTTTATTTCCAGGTAGAATATAATATCAGGAAAATACCACATTGTGGCCACTAGATGGAGCTGGGGAGCATAGGAAAACACATATTCATTTCCTGTGCTCCTCAGCTCCATGAGAGTTTCCATGGCTCTTCAGATATTTTTTATAAACACATCTCATGATGTCCAGGCCATGACCCAAATTTACCCCAAAACCCCCTCCCCCCTGTAGATCATGTCCCAGCATTACTTTTTTCTTGTACCTTGTTCCACTTTTTACACTCCTTGTGACATCATCACCAGGCTTGTAATTCTTGAAGGCAGCTGCTGGGAGCTCAGTTTGTTTTGTTGTAGTACAGCCCCCCTAGAACTACATCTCCCAAGAGCTCTTCCCCTATACACAGCATGTGGGAAGGCTCTTGGGAGTCAAGGCAGCTGCATTATTTTGCTGTGTGTAGAGAGGGACAGAGATTAGGAATCATGATGTCACCTGCACTGGAGGGAGCTCTGAAGCAGCATATACCCCAGAAAAAGATTTTGAATCAGGGTGCAGTCACAGCTATATGCAATGCATTGTGTTGGGTCCATCAAACTCAGCTATAAGGACCTTCCATGTAGAGATGACAGAACTGGACGGCAGTGAAACAGCCCAATACATGTATGTGATCTGTCCATACCGTCTTGTGATTCATGCGCCCAGACAGCACAGCCAGGCCCTGGACCTCTCAGCAGGTAAATAATTCCACCAAGCAAGCAAAGCTGATGATTTTCCACTGCTGGTTATACGGCGATGGTCACATGACGCTCTGTAACATGAAGGTTCATATGTGACGGGTTCGAGGAGCCTGACATATGGTGAACGTGCCGCGCTGAATGAAGAGGAAGCTCGCTGGAATTCCTTTGCATTGTTCTCCTGAATTTAATCATAAACAGGGACGATGATCCCTCCAGCTGTTCCAAGAGAGGCGGGGCCACCCTGAAATCCTCTAATGGGCTCCGGTGGACCAATATAATGACTCCAGTGCTGAGATGAGGATATCCTGAACACGCACAAGGTCAGGAAACTCTAAGGAAGACCGTTCAGTCCTGACACAAGGAAAGCACATCTGTGGCCTCGTCATGACCAGCTTCGCTTCACTGCTAGGGGGAGGCTAAGGAGTGCGATCTCCTAGCCTAGGGACTGTGATCTCCTAGGGGGAGGCTAAGGAGTGCGATCTCCTAGCCTAGGGACTGTGATCTCCTAGGGGGAGGCTAAGGAGTGCGATCTCCTAGCCTAGGGACTGTGATCTCCTAGGGGGAGGCTAAGGAGTGCGATCTCCTAGCCTAGGGACTGTGATCTCCTAGGGGGAGGCTAAGGACTGCAATCTCCTAGGGGGAGGCTAAGGACTGCGATCTCCTAGGGGGAGGCTAAGGACTGTGATCTCCTAGGAGAGGGGGGGGGGGCTAAGGACTCCTCCTGCAAAAATCTCCTCTTTGAGATGTGCATTAGAAGCTGCAGCAAGTCAGAAAGAGCCCGCCTCATTTCCTGGCTGGAGGACATCCAGCATCATCTAGGACTTTCCATCCCAACCTGACTGCCCCAGGCACTGCCCCTTTTATTTTTGGCTTTCAGTTCACTGCATCACATGTGGGCTTTACCTAGGGTGGTCTGCATGCAAATACAGTGTGCAAAGGAAGTATTTAAAATACCACATTATGGCCACTAGATGGAGCTTAGGAGCAGAGGAAAGAAGTATTTAAAAATACTACCACATTGTGGCCACTAGATGGCGTTGAGGAGCACAGAAAATATCTGTTTCCTATGCTCCTCAGCTCCCTCTAGTGGCCACAATGTGGTATTTTAAATACTTCTTTCCTGTGCTCCTCAGCTCCCTCTAGTGGCCACAATGTGGTATTTTAAATACTTCTTTCCTGTGCTCCTCAGCTCCATCTAGTGGCCACAATGTGGTATTTTAAATACTTCTTTCCTCTGCTCCTCAGCTCCATCTAGTGGCCATAGTGTAGAATTGCCCTGATTTTACATTCAGTTTTGGTTACATTCCTAAAGCCTCACTTTAAATGTAACCATATTGAAATTTAGGGGATCTGGAGTCTGGTGAAGGCTGAACCCACAATGCTATATCACTAATATTCAGTCTGGAAAGAGATATATTAATATAAGGTTGAAGTCCATGTGTCTTTTTTCAACCTAACTATGTAACTACGTAACAACATTCTTTTTTGCCCCTATTTGCACAGAACGGTGTACATTCGGTCTGGCAGGACGAATGGCTGGGCCATTTTTTTTTTATAAATACACCCCTATGTGTCTTCAGAATAACTGTGGCTGAAGAAAAATGCATGGCGCTCCTACTAGCCAATTGGATTGCTCATTTTATTCTCTAACCTGCACCTCAAGAAATCAGAGCTGGCATCAGATTGGCCGCTATGGGACCAGCCAATCGACTTCTCACACTTTTTAAAATGTTTTACATGTAAGGCTTCACTTGGTGACCTTCCTACATACCGGTCACGTCGGTGCAGAGAAGCGCCTCCCTGACGTACCCGTATATCTGAAGGTCACATGACCAAAATGGCCAACTCCACTTTCTTAAAGGGCCAGACAAATTGGAAAAAAAAATCCCAAGAGCACCAATATTTAACTTAAAAATTAGATCGTTAGAAGGGGGATGGGGAGGATGGGGGGTAAAAAGCAGAAGAAACAAAAAGACAAGCCTGCAGCGCCGCAGAAATTCTAAACGCGGTTTTGTTTCTGTTTTCTGAATTAAAAAAAGAATAAAATCAGTCTCTTTGTTTTGTTTTTGTTCTGCTGAGTACCTATTTACAAGAGTTCAGATCACAGATTCCACTTTAAAACCTGCATTTTAGTGGTCCCCTTTAATGGCTGTCTTCCTCAATTGCCATGTCCGTGAGGATATTGATTAGGTTGTCCAGTCCGTACAGGTATCCGTCTTCGCGGTTTCCCTCCACCCAGGCTATTCTGTGGTCCAGGACTTGGCCCTCCGGCAGCGGGGTGGTCTTGCCGAAGTCGATCATCCATACTTTAGCCTGCTCCTTCTTGTCGTGGACGAAGAGCAGGGAGCTCCCGATCACCTGCAGGGGGGGGAGGGAGACAAAGCATGAGAGAGTCCCGGAATTCACAGCTTCTGCCTATTGGACAATTTACAATAATGTGTTGCTTTGACTTATTTTTTACAGATATACCCTGACCTGGATGAATGAGAACCTTCATAGACATATCACAGCCAGGCAATTAGCAGGTTTTGATAAAACTAACCCTTGCAGTGGCTCTTCCCCAACGCTGAAAGGGTTAAGTGCTGGTTTTGTCTAGGGGCTGGATGAAAGATGATATACTTACCTCATCCTCAATCTCGTATGGTTGCTAGACCAGTCCCTGCAGCCTCTTCTCCCCCCGGGCTCCATCGGTCTAAGGACCCGTGACATTATCACGTCTAATGCAGGGCCATCTACCTGCATTGGATGTGAGGATGCCGAGGGACATACAACAGCCGGAGAAGAGGGGGAGGAGAGGTGAGCGCTCTCCATGGTGCTATTCCCCTTTGCGGATTTGGAAAGACGTGATGACATCAGCACCCCCTGGACCATTGGGGCCCAGCGAGGCCGAGGATCGGGGGAGTATAGATGCTTTATTTGACCCCCCCAGACAAAATGAGCCCTTACCCCCTTGCAGTGCAGAGGCAGATCCACTGCCAGGGTTCACTTTTCAAATCCTCAGAGTTCCTCTTTAAGACCCCGTTCACACCGGGGCTGTTCGATCTCGCGGATTTCTGAACCACCGACATGAACAATCTCATGATCCCATACATTCCTATGGGGACCGTTCATGCGATCGCGCAGCTCTGCGCGATCCGAACCGCCTGCCACCCGAAATGCTCCCTGGGCCTTTCCTTCCGCACGGATTCCATACAGACTTGAATGGAAACACGCTGATCAGGGCCTTTTTGGGCATTTTTAATTGCGTTTCAGCGCTGAAACGCAAATAAAACTGCTCAAAACCGCCCTTTTACATTTGCGCAGAAACCGCTCTGAAACGCATCCGCCCTGGTGTGAATGGGGCCTAACTTTGTTTCCAGTTCCACCGCACAGTGGAAGCTCCCGGCAACGTTCCCCTCATGTTTCAGGATAACGTTCCCTCTGAACATGTCGAAGACACATCTGGGAGATCTATCAAAACTGGAGTTGGCAAAATCTGGAGATTTGCACTGCAGCCAATCACCATCTCTCGGAGCAAACTGAAGAGAGAAGCTGATTGGTTGCCATAAGCAACTTCTCCAGATTCTGTTTGCTCCAGTTTTGATAAATTCCCCCCTTCGTCTTCACTGAGAACCTAATTAAGTAAATTTGTCTTCGTGTTTCTGACATTCCGTGAGCTTCAATAAGCAATTATTCTCCAAATCGTTGTGCCCCCCCCCCTCCGCCCAGCGAACGCACTTGGCACCCTCTTCGCGCCCTGTGAGTGCTGAGCAGGGAACGATGAACGCTCGTCAAGAGATAATGAGACCTTTTCTTGAAGAGCGGATGAGCCCTGAAGGAGGATTCACATAGGTTTTGTTCTAACAAAGAGCCGTGTTCAGCGGGCGGCAGACCTCCGGAATCGAGCGCACCGCGAGCCGACGTGTTTTACACGCCAGGAGCGTGGCCGCCAAACCATAGAACCATCGACCCGACACTTCCGCAAGAATCATTGCTTTCCTGCAGGAGCGACCGCAGATAATAAACGGCAGGAAGCCAAACCAGCCAATCAGAGCTCATCGTTCAATGGCTGATGTCAAATACAATCATGTCAATCTTGACGCTTGCCCCAGCTCTTGGCTGTGTTAAACACAGATCAGCCCCCTATTGCGCCCTCTCATCTTGTGACTTGATACAAAGTTAAAAGAGAACTATAGGGTTAGTGTTTTCCCCCATAGTTCTCTTTAGAGTTCTCTTCATGGGAGGACATCTACTAACCTCCTCCCGTGACCCAAAGCTATCGCCCGCGATATACTGAGAGCGCCGCAACCAGGACGGACCCCGAAGTTACTGCCGAGATCAACACAGCTGTGTGCGTGACAGCGGGCTCTATCTATCTAGAGGAAGGGCCAGCTGTGCCTGTCCCATCCTCCGTTCGTCCCTCCAGTCAGCACTGGAGGATCAGAGAGGGGAGGTGGGGAATCCCTGCGGGGAGCGGTGACAGACAGTCACCACTCACTGCAGGGAGACGATCGGGAAGTGAGTGGATCGGCTGCATGTTTCTGCTCACCTCCCGATCAATAGAGCCGACCTGTGACAGCTTCTTTGTCACACGTCGGCTCTAACTATGAGGATGGGTGGACATCACTCACCTCATACTTCAAATGTACAGTCTGATCACTGGGGGGAGAGGAGACTGAGGAAATGCTTCCTTCTAATCTCAGCCTAGGGAAAGTCACTGGACTGGAGCTCCAGGATGGCTTTTTAATGATACTGTTGCTGTATATGGTGACATATTGGAGATATATAACAGTGATAGATGCTTGCTGGCTGTACATATAAATAACAGGACTTTAGAGTTGCTCAGCCTCTATTAGAAGCGCTTTAATGTTCTTTATTTCCACCGGAGTTTCTCATTATGACCATACAGCCGGCGGACTCAGGCGGTATGATTTCAGGTTTGCTCATTGCACGCTATGGATTATGTTTTAGGTGCATATGAAATAAGCACACGGACTGCACATAGGTGACATTACATAAAGTCAATAGGAAAATGGCTTTGTGTGCCAGAGAGCCATGTGTTGGCATTTCTTTCCCAACCAGGGCTTGCTCCAGGAGTAGCCAGGGGTTCCTTGAGCTATGAGCAATGGCGGATGTGTATTCCGCTGTACAGGGGCAGCTTAGTCCTGGCACTAATGTCACTCAGCATATTCCGCAGCCTCTGCTTTCATATCTCAGGTGAGTATCCACTGGCATCAGTGATCTTCTGAATTGTCTGTATGAGGTATTCTTCTTATCTCTGATCATCCCTGCAAGGCACTACACAGACACTAAGGGGTTAATTTATAACCCTATATACGCTGGGTGGATGCTGTTCACATGGCACTACAGCCACTAGATGGTACTGCAGAGCATAGGAAATTCCTATTCTGCTCAGCGCCATCTAGTGGTGTTAGTACCATGCGAACAACATCTGCCCTAAGGGTTATATATCAATCCCTCAATGTAAGGAGCCACTTGTTCACCAAACACCAAAGATAAATGGACCTTTCTCCCACTGGTCACTGATCTAAGGGGTCCCACTGGCTATCAATCTAAGGGGTTTCTTCTCCCACTGACTATCAAACTAAGGAGGCCAGTCTCTCACTGGCCACCAATCTAAGTGATTTTTCCTCCATTGGCTACCAATCTTAAGGGCCCTTCTCTCACTGGCTACCAATCTAAGAGGGCCCTTCTCTCACTGGCTACCAATCTAACGCGCCCTTCTCTCACTGGCTACCAATCTAAGAGGGCCCTTCTCTCACTGGCTACCAATCTAAGATGGCCCTTCTCTCACTGGCTACCAGTCTAAGGGGTTCCTTTTCCCACTGGCTATCAATCTAAGGGGTCTATCTCCCACTGGCTACCAATCCCACTTCTCCCATTGACTATCAATCTAAGGAGGCCAGTTTCTCACTGGCCACCAATCTAAGGGATTCTTCTTCCATTAGCTACCAATCTAAAGGGCCCTTCTCTCACTGGCTACCAATCTGAAGGGTCCTTCTCTCACTGGCTACCAATCTAAGAGGGCCCTTCTCTCACTGGCTACCAGTCTAAAGGGTTCCTTTTCCCACTGTCTATCAATCTAAGGGGTCTATCTCCCACTGGCTACCAATCCCATTTCTCCCACTGGCTATCAATCTAAGAGGGCCCTTCTCTCACTGGCCACCAATCTAAGAGGGTCCTTCTCTCACTGGCTACCAATCTAAGAGGGCCCTTCTCTCACTGGCTACCAATCTAAGAGGGCCCTTCTCTCACTGGCTACCAGTCTAAGGGGTTCCTTTTCCCACTGGCTATCAATCTAAGGGGTCTATCTCCCACTGGCTACCAATCCCATTTCTCCCACTAACTATCAATCTAAGGGGTTCTTCTCCCACTGACTATCAATCTAAGAGGGCCCTTCTCTCACTGGCTACCAGTCTAAGGGATTCTTCTTCCATTAGCTACCAATCTAAAGGGCCCTTCTCTCACTGGCTACCAGTCTAAGGGGTTCCTTTTCCCACTGGCTATCAATCTAAGGGGTCTATCTCCTACTGACTACCAATCCCACTTCTCCCACTGACTATCAATCTAAGAAGGCCAGTTTCTCACTGGCCACCAATCTAAGGGATTCTTCTTCCATTAGCTACCAATCTAAAGGACCCTTCTCTCACTGGCTACCAATCTGAAGGGCCCTTCTCTCACTGGCTACCAATCTAAAAGGGCCCTTCTCTCACTGGCTACCAATCTAAGAGGGCCCTTCTCTCACTGGCTTTGGTGTGAAGAAAAGAAAGCACCGGAAACAAAACAGAATAATTCCAGACATGATTTTATTTAGAATCTTTCATCATAGAAAGTCAATACGTTTTGGGTGTCTCAGAGTGACCCCCCCCTTCATCATGGTCCGTAGACAGACATCTGAAGCAATTATATTTACTTTCATTCGAACCCCCTAATCATAGTAGTCCAGTATAAGCTTAATTCTACTTCCCCCAGCACTGATGAAAAGATTGGGGGGGGGTCCTTAAAAGCTCCAAATCGCGTTGGATTTTATGGTAGAAGTTTCTAAGTAAAATCAGTTTTTACATTTGGTTTCTGGCGCTTCCTTATCTGAGCTGATAGTTGACGCTTGGCTATCACTCCTGGACAGCTGCCTAAAGTCTTTTTTGGGCCAGCAGTGGATTCCTGCGGCAGATTCCGTGTGAATGAGGCCTAAGGGGAATGATTCCCTCTACTTTTTGTTTTGAATCTTGACTAAAGTACCCACCATGACACAAGACCCAGCACCCCACCCCTTCCCCCTATGTTCTATGTGTCACCCGAACAGGAAATCCTATATCATTACACTGCCAATTAACACATTTTACTGATAAGAAAGTGTTGTTGTAAAAGCAAAACAGATAAAGAATAAGATAAAAAAACGTCCTTCTATTCCTTCCTTCATTTCCTTTCTTCCTCTATTCCTTCCTTCATTTCCCATTCCTTCCTTCATTTCCTTTTTTCCTCTATTCCTTCCTTCATTTCCTTTCCTATCCTCCCTTTCTTCATTTCACGTTTCTTCTCCTTTACTATGCCTTATTTCCCTTTCTTCTTTTTCCTGCCTTCCTTATTCCCTTCCAATCCTTCCTTCTTTCATCCATCCCTGTCTTCATCCATTCCTTCATTCTTCTATCTCTCTCTCCTTCCATACTGTCTTCCTTCCTTTTATCTCCTTGCCTTCCCTTTATCTTCTTTCATCCTTGCTTCCTATACTTCCATCCTTTTTTCATCCCTCTCTTCTTCTATACTGTCTCCCTTCTATCCTTCCTTCCTTTCCTTCCTACCAATTTACCTCAAGTTCAGACAGTTCTAGTGGGTGTGCCGTTATGGAATTCCAATTGAAAATGTTTTTACTTCCTTTTCCTAATTACCCTTCTTCCCTTCCTTCCCTCCTTCTTTCAACTACCATATTTTCTTTCTTTTTTCTTTCTTTCTCTTCCTACCATACTTCCTTCCTTCATTCTTTCATATAATTCTTCCTTCCTTCCTACCATTCTTCCTTCCTTCTTTTCTTTTCCTCCCTCCCTTCCTTCTTTCATGCCTTACTATCATTCTTCCTTCCCTCCTTTATTCCTTCCTACCATTCTTCCTTCCCTCCCTTCTTTCATCCTTCCCTCCTTCATATCATTCTTCCTTCCTTTCCCTTCATTCATTCCTACCCTTCTTCCTTCCTTCTTTCATCCTTCTTTTCTTTCCCTCCCTCCCTTCTTTCATCTTTCTTTCCTCCTTCATTCCGTCCTATCATTCTTCTTTCCCCCTTCCTTCCTTCCTTCTTTCATCATTTTTTCCATCCTTCCTCCCTTCCTTCTTTCACCCTTCTTTCCTTCCTTACTTTTGGAGATCTCTCCAGCAGGGACACACTCCCCGATGAAAACCACCAGATGTTCTGACCGTTCCCCGCTATATGTGAAGGGAAGCATTGGATGTTCTCTGGATGAATCCTGACATTTGTAACAAATAATTCAGCTTTATTTATTTTTTTATACTCCTCTAAGGGGCAGAACAGAAGCCATAATGGGTCGGTTGTGACGGTGATGGAACATTCCACCCGAGCTGCGTGAACTCTGAATTATGGGAGATGGTGACTCTTGATGACCCTCTCTGGAGTTCTGTGAAGGGACGAGTGTCCTGGCGTAAGTCTGGGAATCCTTCCCACGAAAGGGGAACATTCATCTTCTACTACATGTAAACAAACACAGAGCCGGGCGAGAAAACTCATTTTCATCAGCCTGGACCATATTTGTTATGGTTCCGTTGCTAGGTCAGCGCTCTCAGCTCTTCAAGATTATTAGTCGCTGTATATTAAGAGGATGATGTCACCGCATTCCACAACGGACACAAAAAAAAAGGTGTTTCTCGGTGAATCTCACAACCATGGAGCTTAAAGGAGAACTATGAGTGAGTGATTTCCACTCATCCTCATAGTTCAAGCCGAAGTGTGAAAATGAAACTGTCACAGGTCGGCTCAATAGATCGGGAAGTAAGTGAACACATACGGTCGCTCGCTCACTTCTCGATCATGTCCCTGCAGAGAGCCGTGACTGTCACTCACGGCTCCCTGCAAGGATTCCCCCCTCCCTTTTCCGATCCTCCAGCGCTGAATGGAGGAACGGACAGGGAGGGGGCGGGTACATCTGGCTCTGTCTGTAGATAGGCAGAGCCAGCTGTCACTCACGCAGCTGGGTGTATCTCGACAGTAATGTCGGGATCCGTCCCGGCTGCGGCGGTCTCAGTATACCGCGTGCAGTAGCTCGCTATATACTGAGCTTAGGGTCACGGGAGGACGCTAGTATATGTCCTCCCGTGACCCTAAAGAGAACTATGGGGAAAAACACTTACCCCCTAGTTCTCTTTTAAGCCTCTGTGATATTGTTACAACAGAACTCCAGCAATGAATACCAAAATAATAATTTATAACGCACTATAAAACAGCTTTTAAATAAACCGGTTCCATTTTCATTACATACCTTATATTAGACCCAGTACAGACTGTTCTAGATAATGCCCACTGATCTGCAATGCAATAAATGAAAGGGGCGAGCCAGGCACAGTCAGACTGGGATGGAAAGAGCTAGATGATGCTTGACATGAAATGAGGTGGACTATGTCTGTCTTACAACAACTTCTAATGCACATTGTGAGAAGCTCATGTTAGATGCATCATGGTTTTCTCCCGCTGTTCTAGTTTCATTCCAGAACCCAAATACAATTTGTGACTTTACTGGGAATGTTACTTTGTAGACTCCTTTTATAAATATATAAATGATTTATGATAAATTATATAAATGAGGGAAGAAATTATAACGTCATACGTGGCTCACCTCATGGCTCTTAAAGAAAGGCGACTGCTCTAGTGTGGTCCTTATATCCTCCAGGCGACTCAGGTACGATTTCTGTAGACACAGGTTATAATAAGGAGAGCTGTGAGTTTTTATCGGGAGTTGAAGGATGATATTGGATAATATTAAAACAAAGTAAAGCCACTAAGCACTGAGTCACATATCATGGAATCACAAACATTCCGTGCAAGAAAAACACTTGTTATTCTATATGTGCACTGTATTGGATCATTCCAGGAAGCTGTGACACTTACCAAAATTTGAGAGTTCCCCTGTGTGAAGTCCCGGAAGGCCGCCTTAATCTGCTCTGGGCTCTTCGTTTTCTTAAAATCTCTGTTCACTGTCCCGTCTTCCTTCTGAAAAACAATAAATCCCATATGATCAGACAGCCAATTAACACATTTCAGTGGACCAGTAAGTGTTGTTGTAAACCTAAAACTCTCTCCTATCCCTTTCTTCCTCTATTCCTTCCTTCATTTCCTTTCTTCCTCTATTCCTTCCTTCATTTCCTTTCTTCCTCTATTCCTTCCATTTCCTTTCCTATCCTCCCTTTCTTAATTTCCCTTTTCTTCTCTCTACCCATCCTTCATTTCTCTTTCTTCATTTTCCTACCTTCCTTTTTTATCTTCCTATCCTTCCTTCTTTCTTTTACCCCTCTCTTCCTCCATACGGACTTCCTTCCTTCCTTTTTACCTTCTTTCATGCTCCCTTCCTTCCCATACTTCCTTCTTTCAGCCCTCTCTTCCTCCATACTTCTACCCTTTCTTCCTTACTCTGTTCTTTATTTCATCCTTCATTTTTTTCTATTTTCTTTCTTCCTTTTTTCTTTCTCTTCCTTCCTTTCTTTTTTCCTACCTTCTTTCCAATTTACCTCAGGGTGGTCTGTTAGTTCTGGCGAGTGTGCCTTTCTGGAGTCCTGATTCCTAAGGCACATTTCAAATGCTTTTTCTCGTTTTTGCTTATTACCCTTCCTTCCACCTTTCTTCATCTTCTTTCCTTGCTTTTCCTTGCTTCCTTAATATGCCTTCTTTTCCCTTCCTTACCACCTTTCCTTTGTTCCCTCCTTTTTTAATTTCTCTTCCTTCCCTTCTTCATTTCCTTACTTCCTTCTTTCATCCCCCTCTCCCTTTATACTGTCTTCATTCCTTCTATCCTGTCTTCATTACTTTGAACATTATTTCTTCCTTCTTTTATTCTTCCTTCCTTATTTAATTCCTTTCTTGTTTCATTCTTTCGTTTTCTATTCTTTCTCCCTTCTTCCTTCCTCTGTTTCTTCTTTCATCCTTTCCTTCCTTTTTCCTACCTTCTTTCCTTTTTTCCTATCTTACTTCCAATTTAGCTGAAGGTCAGACATTTCTGGGGAGTGTGCCTTTCTAGAATCCTGATTGCTAAGACACATTTGAAAATGTTTTTACTTGCTTTTACTTTTTACCCTCCTTTCCTCTCTCCCTCATTCCTTCATCTTATTTACTTTCTCTTTCTTCCTTTCGTCCTTCCTTTTATCTACCTTCTTTTCCCTTCCTTACCTTCTTTCCTTTGTTCCCTCCCTTTTTAATTTTCCTTCCTTCCCTCTCTTGCTTCCTTCCTTCCTTCCCTTACCCTTCTTTACTTTTGATTTACCTCGTGGTGGTCTGTTAATTTTGGTGAGTGTGCCTTTTTGGAATCCTGATTGCTAATGCACATTTGAAAGTTTTTTTCATCCTTTCCCATATTACCCTTCCTTCTTCCCTCACCTTCTTCTTTATCGTCTTTCCTTTTTCTTCCCTCCTATTTTCCTTTATCTACTTTCTTATCCTCCTTTCTTTGTTCGCTCCTTTCATCATCTACCTTCCTTCCCACCTTGATCCCTTCCTTTCTTTCCTTCTTCCCCCCTTTTCCAAACTCCCTTCCTCACGCTCCCTTCCTCCCCTCTGTTCTTGCTTAGTGTCTTTATTTTACAAAAGTCACAACAAGTCAGCTAATGAGGAGAATGGCTGCTGTAGTATTACTATTAATAGTGTTAATAACAGTATTATTTGCAGTCTTTTTGTCTGCAGAAAGGGTTAACGGACTGATACACAACAACTGTGTTAGAGGTCTGAGTGTGATTGCTCTTTTTAATCAATAAATATAAAATGTTATCACTGTGCCAATTCACCAATCCCCACACTCCACTAATAAAACAATTCCGTACAAAAACCACAAACCTCTTCAGCTCCACCCCAGACCTCAGGATGATGGGCACAGTGGTTAACAAAAAAAGAGTGATCGACTTTAAATCACTTGTATATCTTATGAGGTCCAAACCACTTTCAGGTATGCAAAGGCCTGAAGAGGGGGGGCTTTTTAGAAACAATTTTGCTCTCACAATAAACTTATATAAGAAAATGATTTATTGTTCACAAAAGATTAAAAACAAAGTGTGCTGTCACAGTTCAGAGACTTGTTACAAAGATATCAATGATACCGATGCTGACACAGTATATTGCAATGGTCTAATTACTCATGATTGATTGAGCAGATGGAGTTTTTCTTTGGATATCCCAACATGTTTCGCCTAAATGAGGTTTCCTCAAGAGGATATTAATCCTAAAGAAAAAGCTTATTGTAGACCAGTCAACGAGAAGCCACCCACATGGACAAAAACTGAACCAGATCCTTCAATCTGCGACAGCAAAATGGGAAGGTCGTGTCGGGAAGCAAGTCGCAACAGGAGTAGGACAAAAGGAGGAAGCAATGCGTGTTTTCTATTGCCAGAGATATACTGTGCTTCCCCGAAAATAAGACCTATCCCGAAAGTAAGACCTAGCACTATCTTTAGAGATTCCTGTAATAGAAGACCTACCCCGAAAATAAGACCTAGTTCGGTGGTACGGTAGCATGTGCTTGAGCGCACTGTCCACTGTCTGCACCGCTGGCAGGGTCGTAGGAAGAGCGAGGCGAGGCTGGGAGGGGGCGCAGCCAGGGCCCTGGTATTCTGTCATATGGGGTGGGGGCGGCCTAGAGAGCAACCAGAGTACACGGCAGGGACTGAACGCCTCGCCGAAGCTCCCGCATGCCGCCGTGTCCCGAAATCAGCAGACACTTGTCTGCCTCGGCTTTTGCTTAGAGAGCTGCCGCCGGGCAGAAAACTACATTTCCCAGCAGGCAGCGGCACAGTGCGGCATGGCCAGTGGGGTCGGAGTGAGGTGAGATGAGGTGACTGAGCCTCAGTCACTGAGGGAACTTCTGACATTAAAACATAAAAAAAAAACAATAAGACATCCCCCGAAAATAAGACCTAGTGTGTTTTTTTTGGGGGAAAAAAATATAAGACAGTGTCTTATTTTCGGGGAAACGCGGTAACTTAATATCGTCCAGATATACTACTCCAATGTTTTTTTTCTGAAAGCAGGTACATTTTACAGCCAGTTACACCTGAGCCGGGATGGGGAAATGAATGTCTACAAACTAGAAGGGGCAATCCCTGAGTCAATAAAGAGTCATTAAACTGTATACAATACAGAGTGCTACATCCAGCAAACCATGACACCGCTTCCTCCTCCACTTTACAAGAGGCAAACAGTCTGTGTGACAAAGTTTAGTCTTAGAACAGATCTGGACCGATCATCAGCAAGTAAACAAAACAGAAAACGCAACGCTGCTTTTATCGATAATTATCAGGAAGTTACGTAAATGTGCACAGTGGGTACACACCGGCGAGCTGAGTCACCGAGTAGTTGTTTTTAAAGTTCAAGCTAAATTACACACAGAACCAAAGTCAGAAAAATAACTTTTGTCTCTTAAGGCTAGTTCACACCAAGCGCGGAGCAGGTGCAGAGCAGAGCAGGTGCAGACCAGATCAAAACTGCGTCCAATGTATTCCAATGGTATTTTTAGCTCCAGTTCACATCGGAGCGTCCAGATCCAGAGCAGGTTAAAAAACTGCAGCAGGCCCTATTTTACCTGCTCTGGATCTGCAAATGCATCAAAAACGCATGAAAGCCCATGTTAAACTAAAAAAAATTTTTTTTAGCCAAAAAAGCATCTAAAAGACTAGTGTTCGTGTGCAGAAACCTGACTGGATCTGCTCTGCATTTGGTGTGAACAAGGCCTTATACACCACATGGGCTCTGATTGAGGTTTCAATTAGACAAAGTGAGCTCAAAGGCAGGCAGCTCCTTTTTAGATAACATGTGTTGTCATGTATTAAGCAGACCCTGTTCCCAAACTATTTATTTCAACAAAAATCTTACTATAATATTACATGTCTATAAGGTTATATGAACATTTATATATTTTAGGCATGTTATTTACTTGTAAAAGCCTCCCTCATGTAGACATTCAAAAACCCTAAAACTGCTGCTGGGTGCCACCATCTTGGATGTGAAGTAACTGTTAGTCGTGCAATGCCTCATAGGACTTGTAGCTCTACAACAGCTGGAGGGCTGGAGTCGTCCTCCCCTGCATGAGACTAATATCATCTTAAAGAGAACCAGTCACCACTAAAGTGCTATCACAGCTGGTGGCTGTCAGAGTCTTGCAGTGCCTCATGAGATTTGTATTTGCACCACAGGAGGAGGGCTGGAGTTTTCCTGCCCCTTCTCTATAGTATTCCCCTTCACTCTTCCGCTGGCTGCTACATAAAAGGTTACTGTATGTAGAAAGGTGAGGGAAGAGACAGAGGAGCTAGGCCAGCACAGGAACATTGTAAGTCAATAAAAAATTGTTTATGGAAAGAAAAAAAACACGTAAAAAGTAAGAATGTAAAGGACTTCATCTTTTCTGTGCTTCTACCTGCAATTGCTTAAGTTGGTGACGGGGCCTCTTTAAGTGTATATTTGAGAAACAAAGAATTATATATGTATAAAAAGACATTTTAAGTGCAGGGCTGTCCCATGGAGGGGTGCGGTGCAGGAAATAGGGGAAGCCGGAGTTGAGCTTTAAAAAGAAAATAAAACTAGCTTAAATATATTTAAGTGAAACACATACTAAAAGGAAATGTGTTCTGTTTATCTCGTGGCACTTCCTTATGCTGGCATAACACATTTTAAAGGTCACCAACGCTGGTTTTTGTGGTCAGTAGCTACTTCCTGTCCAGAAAATACATTTTCCTTGCAGGCCCGTGTGTCACTTTATTTCAAAATAAAATTTTATTCGCTTCCAGTTTTACTCACCAGTGAAATATGGAAGGGCAAAAAAAAGAAAACATATTTAGTCCAGCTCTACAATACATGCATGTTTACTCACGTGTTATCATTTAAAGACCGCAAGTACTGAAAATGACCTGTTTGATCTGCCGGAAATGTGCTCAGCTTCTAAGTCCTATGCTGAGCTGACAACACTGTGATTTTCTGAACTGAGATCATAAGGAATGGTGTCAGCCCTGCCTTTTTGA